GGATATGGAACTGTCCCCAGGAGTAACAGCCGGAATCAGAGACTGGTCCAATGGATGAGATGTAAAGTACCAAAGGCCTCTAATGTAGTCTGTAATCATAGCTATGAATGTGATGGTAAATGATCATAAATCAGTAAGAGAGATGATCTGGTGAGAAAAGGGTGGGTTGATTGCATTAATTGTGCTGTTTGTGGTTTGTGTGGGGTGAAGGTGCTTTCAAAAGAGAAGATGTCCCCCTGCCTGCTGACTGCGTGCTTTACCTTAAGGGTATCTCTCATGTCTAACACAAATCACCATTTTCTGGCCATTTCCTTCTGTCATCTTTTACTCTTTCTGTCTGAATTTTGTTATTTTTACCTCAAATACCTTTCACTATTTCCATTCTGCCTAAGGAAATCCTATTTCAATCTTTAGCACCATATTCCAGTCACATCAGATGCTTGTGATTTGGGAGGATCTATTTTCTTTGCTCGTGATAATCTCTATTCCTAGAATATGATGTTTGCCAGCTCCAACTCTTAACATCCTAATCAGTCTTTTAAAATGAATTATATATGTCACATCCTTATAGAAATCTCCTTAACCATGACAGTCAATTGTTTTTTATTTGTTTGCACTTCCTGTAAGATACTCATCAAACTCTGTCTCACTTCCTCCCTAAGTTACCCCATCTCTGTCATTCTATTATTTCCCAAATTGCTTCAAATGGTGCTTTGCCCTTAGATAGACAACTCAAAATGAATTTGTTACATTGAATGAATATACAAATACCAAAGATTCATTTTGCTCATTATGCATGATAGTATCTTGTATCAGGTAATTTTAGCCATTTTCCAACAGAATCATGAAAACATTGGCACAGAACTTATTTGAAAGCATATTTTCCGGTTTTTCTGTCTTGTCCTACTGAATATAATATGTGGTACCCTTTTTCTTGGTTATCATATTATGTAGTTAGCAGCACGTCTTAAGAAAAAAGCAAAAAATGTGTTCTGAAGTAATAGAACCGGACATGGAGCAACAGACAGGTTCCAAATTGGGAAAGGAGCACGTCAAGGCTGTATACTGTCATGCTGCTTATTTAACTTATATGCAGAGTACATAATGTGAAATGCAAGGCTGGATGAAACACAAGCTAGAGTCAAGATCGCAGGAAGAAATATCAGTAACCTCAGTTATGCAGATGACACCACCCTTATCGCAGAAAGTGAAGAGGAACTAAACAGCTTCTTGATGAAAATGAAAGAGGATAGTGAAAAAGCTGGCTTAAATCTCAACATTCAAAAAACTAAGATCATGGCATCCAGTCCCATTACTTCATGGCAGATAGAAGGGGAAACATTGAAAACAGTGACAGACTTTATTATCCTGGGGTCCAAAATCACTGCAGATGGTGACTGCAGCCATGAAATTAAAACTCTTGCTCCTTGGAGGAAAAGTTGTGACAAACCTAAATAGTGTATTAAAAAGCAGAGATATACTTTGCCAACAAAGGTCTGTAGAGTCAAAGCTATAGTTTTTCCAGTAGTCATGTGAGATGTTGTACCATAAAGAAGGCTGAACATTGAAGAATTGATGCTTTTGAACTGTGATGTTGGAGAAGACTCTTGAGAGTCCCTTGGACTGCAAGGAGATCAAACCAGTCAGTCCTAAAGGAAATCAACCCTGAATATCCATTAGAAAGACTGATGCTGAAGCTCTAATACTCTGGCCACCTGATACATAGAGCTGACTCACTGGAAAAGACCCTGATGCTGGGAAACATTGATTGCAGAAGGAGAAGGGAACAACAGAAGACAAGATGGTTGGATGGCATCACTGACTCAGTGGATGTGAGTTTGAGCAAACTCCGGGAGATGGTGAGGGATAGGGATACCTGGGCTGCTGTAGTCCATGTGGTGGCAAAGAGTCAGATATGACTAAGTCACTGAACAGCAACAAATTTGGTTTAATCTAAAAAAAAAATTAATCAAAGTATTTATTCTTTAATTAAGAGTAAATCAGCTATACATCAAACCTCAACTCTATAGATATTTCAGTATTCGTATATGAGATGCTGGATGGAATGAGTAGCAGGGGAAATTAGTTGAAAACTTGAAGAAACAATAATAAAAAAAGAACAGGGGAGTAAATACCTTTAAAATGAAGGAAAGGCAAGGTGGCGCCACTGAGGAAAGATGCAGACCAGAGCAAATATATTCAGTCCTGGAAGAAGATTGCTGTAATTATTCAAGTATTTACAAAAATTAGCATAATCTAAGACAATAATTATTTGTGTTACTATCAATTTTATATGGTAATAAATCAAAATGTATTCTTTTAAAGCATAGGAGGACAATCTCAGTCTGACTTTCTGTGTTTAGTTGTAGATAAGAACACACATCAAAGTCTTTTATATGAGAAACAATCCCTCTTTAAACCTGTCTCAATGTAGTTAATAACAAGTCTTATTTCTTATTGTGACAATCAAATTACTAGAAACAGGAGTTTATTCCATCTCCACTTCTTTGCTCCCATTTACTCTTCCAACCATAGCAATAGGGTTGCTATTCCCACTTTCCGCTAAAACTTAATAATCTAGTGGTCAAATCCCATAGAGAAGACTTGGTTCTTTTAATTTAACTTATCTTTAAAATACAATTCTGAACCATTTTATCTTTTTGAAATTCCTGTCAGTCTCTTGATTTTCCTTTATTGTAATATTTAATGGCACTCTCTCCTCCATTAGATTATAAGGAATCCTGTGTTTCCAACATGACATTTCTCACAATATCTAGCTCTTGGTAGAAATTAAGGGGAAATGTGTTCAGAAATACTCATTGAATTGAAAAATCAAATACATAGATAAGGAGATTCAACATACCTATAATGTGGGTATTACAATTGTGTTTGGTAGGATGGTTCATTTGTAGGGCATTGAAACAGAAATTTATTTCAAAGTTTCCCTTTTGGCTGTTGATCATTTGATCTCTGTTTCATGGCCATCATCTCAGTCTCTTTTTAAGGTTGTACTCTTTCATCTACCCATCCATGCCCATATTACTCATAAGTGGTAATATTTTCTAAGATTTTATTCATGGACATCTCACTGTGAATCTCCCTCTATACCATTCTGTTCACCTCCTTGGTTTGAATTACCTACCTTATGTATGCTGGCTTTCAATCCCGTATCTTTACTGTAAATCTTCTCTTGGCCCTTCTTCTGTATGTTAATGAAAGAAGAAAAGGATAAAGGGTAGAGAAGGTCATTGAAAATAACTCCACCTCTGTGAGATTTCTTCTACTTTTCTCTTACGTATGGAGAACTAACACACTTTATGCTGCTGCTAAGTCACTTCAGTTGTGTCCAACTCTGTGCGACCCCATTGACGGCAGCCCACCAGTCTCCCCCGTCCCTGGGATTCTCCAGGCAAGAACACTGGAGTGGGTTGCCATTTCCTTCTCCAATGCATGAAAGTGAAGAATGAAAGTGAAGTTGCTCAGTCGTGTCTGACTCTTAGCGACCCCATGGACTACAGCCTACCAGGCTCCTCCATCCATGGGATTTTCCAGGCAAGAGTACTGGAGTGGGGTGCCATTGCCTTCTCCGAACACACCTTATAGTTGCCAGCTAACTCCTAGCTTATGATCTGTTGTCTGACTTCACTGGTCTACTCTTTGTGGGCATCAAAGGCTCATTCACTTAAGGTCTTCTTTCCCTCTCCTGGAAACACTTAGCACTCTACACCCTGTGGAAGTAAGTGCTCAGTAAATCTTACTTAGTTGCCATTAGTGATTTACTTTTCTGCATGCTAAGCAGAATCTTTCCTTGGGGATCTTCCTACTGCTTTTGTGAAATTGTTGGTAGCCATAAAATTTCACAGTTCTTATGAGAAAGCTCCACTATCTTAGATGAAGGTATGTTCTCCCCCCCAAATCAATAACTATTATGGATTTATCCTATAATTGCTAAAGGAAGAGAGGCAGTGTATTTTTTTTTTTCCGTCCATGTAGCTACATCATTCAACCCCTTGAAAGTATATTAATTCTCATGTAATCCAAAACTAGAATAAGTATCTCCTGGTTTTAAAATACATACTAAAATGTAATTTTCACAAAAGGCAAATTATAGATTCTGTCTGATATTTATTCATATTTGTGTTTTATTACATAGGTTATTAAATTAAGTGAGGGAATTGACCAAAAACTTTGGAACCATTCATACTCATTGACATTGTTAATGAAACATTCAAGATATTGTGATCCTTAAAAACTCAATATTATATAAATATAATGCATTAATTTTCCAACTCAGTTTTAAATTTCAGAAAATATCTGCTGAGTAGAGTAATTGCCTGATTGTCATTTATAAGCTTACACATAATCTAATTTAAAAGAACTAATCGTAGCAGAATGTTATACTTGTTTAATAATTTAAGGTGTGAGGGCAAGAACAATTAATGCAAACAAAGAAAATTAGACATCAAACTCATTTATTATTCTCCTTGCTCTATTAATCTATTATCAACTGGCATAAGCAGTGATCTAACTTGGTTTAATTACCTTGAAGTCTACAATTTAGCTAATCAAAATTTATCTTGAGTTTTTCCTACAAGGTAGAAAACATAATTTTGTAATTATGAAAATACATGCTGTACAATGTTGTTTGTACACATGCATAAACATTATGAGAGTGCAATTTCTTTGAGGGAAGAATGGAGTACTATCACTTATAATTTGACCTCTAGGCTAAATACAGTTTAAGAAAAAAAAAGTAATTTTTGAGAGCAAGAAAGCTATTGCTTAATAATTTTTTTGTGTGGATATTTACCTTGTTTTAGCTTTGTAAGTGACATTCATACACAGTCTTAAATATTATGATTTTAAAAGACTGTGCAAAAATATATAAAAGGAATTTTGTAATTACTGAGATTGTAAAAATAGGAAATAATATGAACCATTTTCTGGGGGAAAAAACACAGAACAAAACAACAACAACTGAATTTTTTACTTCTCCTCAGCTCCGTAAGGCTATCATAGATCATGTGTCAGACTCTTTTTTGGATACAACAGTCCCACTTCTGGTTCTCATTGAAGCTGCCAAGAATGGCCGGGAAAAGGAAATAAAAGAATATGCTGCAATATTCCGTGAACACACCAGCAGGCTTGTAGAGGTAAGTGTGCTGGAATTATAACTACTCTAAATCCAGGAGAATAGGGCTCTCATTCTGCATTTATAGCTGAACTGAGGTCAGATACAAATTTTTGACCATTTATAGCAAATGAAACAGAGATGGGCCAAAGTAATATGAAGGTATGTGTGTCAGATTGTATGAACTATTCCCCATTGGCTCAGAAAAGGAACAATTTATTTAGAAAGAATTGTGAAAATATGATGAATATATTTTCTTAATACATTTTCTTTTCAGAGTTACACACACAAAACCTGGTTAAACATAGCTTTTACCATTACAAATATTTTCTTCATATTCTGATTTAATAGTATTAAATGCTCTCTGTCATGCCATTTTATTGTTTCTCATGTTTTCATGGTTATGTTACTCCTCAGCCTTTCAAATCATATTCAACTATGAAACATGACTCTAGAATGTAGGATATACGGGGATAGAGAAACCCAGAGTAATTAAGTAGAGATAGTGGATTGGTCCATGTCCCCGTAGAGGCAAGAGGAGATGATAATAAAACTTAATCCTCTTCTGCTTGGAAACTGGAGACATTCCCCATATTTTGGGAGGTGGATTGTCATCTGAATGAGTTATGAAGTGCTGGGCAATTCCTAGAAAACAGATAATGAAATCTGTTGTATTATGGGCATCAGTAATGCAGCTATGGTATAAGAGAAAGCCGAGTGGAAGAATACCCAACACCAGTAAAAAGGTGAGAGTACTCACAAGCCCAGGAACCAGTGGCAGGAAGGGGGAAATGTGGTTGAACTGATCCTCATACTGAACTAGTACCCATTAGTATGACTCTACCAGTTGTTTTTGGCTTGTGTCTAGACTTATTGTCAGTGCCCATGCTGTGCTGATTATTAAATGTTTTGACTGCCAGAACCTTCCTATATAGGCCATGAACTCTATGGTGGAACATATGTTTGGGGGCCTAAATTGCTTATCAAATTTGTATTAGAAATAGTTGCCACTTGAATTAGAAACACAGCATTCTATACAACATTTACTAAGGTAGAAGACTTTCCCAACATTTTTAATGTGGATCTGCTGGGAAGGAAGTTTCCATGTAACTAGCATTTCCACTATAAACTTTCTGCACCCCAATAGTCACAACTAGAAAATGAAAGGAGTGGATAAATAGGTGATTACTAAGATAATTTCAGCCCTAAAACTGCCCCACCTCCAACTTTGAAATCTCTGACATTCCCAAGAATACTATGAGACAGGGCAACTGATATAATTCCCATTGGCCTTATGTGGAAATAAAGTACAAAACCCAGACCAAGCTGATGAAGAGTCAAAGCTGAGTTCCAGGTTTGCTTGCATTTAACTAATCCAGTCAATTGCTTATTATTTATTTATATATTCCTTCCTGTACTCATTCCTCAAATATTTATTAACTATTCCCACAGGAAAATGTTAAAAATTAAAAGAGAGCAGAACAGAAAGAGCAAGTCATTAAAGGCACCAAACTAAATGTTCAGGCCCCTCTGAATCATGAACCTTTTGTCTAGAAATGTTTTTTCTAAGCTGAAGGAACACTAAATTATGAAAGTAACTTTTTAGTGAAAAATTCTGAGAGTAAAAGTTGGTTTCTGCTAATAAGGTTTCATCCTTTTCCTATTTTCAGTTTAGTTTCTAATGAGACATAAATCTCTTAAGGTGCTCAATGAAGGACTCCTTGATCACACATTTTTGGGAAAAAAAGTTCTATTTGTCCTTGTGGAGATTTTACATTTCTGAAAAATCCAGATATAAAGAGACCTCTTTAAGTTAAAATTTCCCCAAATCAATTTACGTGAAGTACTCTTTCTTTCATAAAACTTATGAGGAAGGTGCTGCCTTCCAGGACCCTTGAGAATACTACCTTAATTTTATTACCAAATGATAGTTTATTATTCTGTAGATGGAGCACTAAGAATCTATTTTAAATTTTTAAGGATTTTGAAAATTCTGTATTTAATGTGAATATGAAACCATAACAGAGTTTTGGAATTTTGAGTTACTGAGGGACTTATTCAACCCTCTTTGTTCCCTTAACACATTATAATGAGGTTATGTTGGCTTTGGAATGTTCCGTTTCTCATTCTGGTATTACTTAGAAACTTGCCTTCAGTTCCAGTAAGCTTTTACTACTTAACAAACATTCTCAAACTTAGTGCTTTAAAACAGTAATTTATTATTTACAAGTACTCTCTTACTGATTTGTGTGTTGACTGGGCAGTTCTTACTTGGGTCTCTCATGTTCTTGTTGTCAACTGTTAGTTGGAGATGAAGCCCTTCAAAGGTTTGACTAGGCTAGACATCCAAGATGGTACATTCACAAGTTTGAAAGTGCATGCTTTCTGTCAGCCAGGAGCTTAGCTGTGGTTGTTGACTGGAGCACAAACCAATATATAGCCTTTCCATTGGCTTCAGCTTCTCACAGCATAATTTCTGGGTTCTGAGATAAGAAGTCCCAAGAGCAAGTCAGAAACAGGAAGTAGAGCTGACATTCCCTTAATGCCTGGGCCCAGAAGTTGATAGAGTGCAGTTTCCACTGTTCTTTATTGACTGAAGCAGTCATAGAGCCTGCCCAAACACAAGGGGACAGGAGTGGGCGTGAGACTCCACCTCTAGCTGGAAGGAGCAGCAGAACATTTGTGACCACCTTTAATCTATACTTCTCTCCTCAGGGCTGCATTTGCTTCAGCTGTAAAGTGAAGGTTAAACAAGATGACAACTAAGGTCACTCCAGTTTCTAAAATAGTAAGATCTGACACATTACAAGAGAGACACTCTTACCTTTCTAAGAGATATAGAAGAAAATGAAAATTGTTTTTAAGTATACTGCTTGAACACTAGGTTGTTTATATATATATCAAGGGAAAGAAAAAAAAAAAGGAAACACTGCATATATCTCCTGGGAAAATTCTTTTTTTGAAAGGAGCTGTCTAACCAAAGCAACAGAGAAAATCATCATTAATTTACTACAAACATTGAGACAGAAGTGTCTGGGGCAGAGTCTGAGTATATAAGACAGCTCAAATATATCATTTTCAGAGGACGTTGTGAGTCCACTTTGTATAGATTGCTTACCAGTCTTACCACCTCCTTTTCCCTTACCACTGCCCCTATACAGACATGCACATATACCCACCTTATTTCCAAGCTGGGTTATCTGACATAGTAGGGCGTAAGTCTTAGATTCTAAATGACTTCAAGAAAAAACTATTTTCACTCTGTCTGGGTTTTGATACCTCAACTCTGTCAGAGAAATCTGCAATCTAAAAGTGAACTTGTTGAGGGAAGTCTTAAATGTGAAAAAAAAGCCCATTTTTAAAGAATTTCTGTCAGATTTTTGGAGAAAAACTCCATGCTGTTTAAAGGAATGCTTTAGATAATGGTTAACTTGTGACTTCTATGAAAGGAATAGCAAAAAGGTGTAATGGAACACAAAGGGGAAAAAACACAAAATGGTAAGAAATTCTGCGGGAAATATGTAGTAAACAAAGCATACTCAGAGCATTGGAGAAAGAAATGGGAATGAGAAGCCGAGTGGCCAATAAATTAGGCCTAAACATTCTCATTCTCTAGTAAAGTCATGTCTATTTTATTATTTAGTAAGTAGTAAGTTTAGTATAAGTCTAATATAGTATGTGTGTTTTATGTAGTAAGTTTAATATAAAATGACCATGGGTGAATGATGGTTAAAAACCATGGGCAGTTTCAGTAACTGGAGAACTTAGATCCTTGTGGCTAATTTTATCTTAATGTTGAATTAAGTAACTATTATGCAAAGCTTTCTACTTTGAACATCCAAGTTAGTCTGTGTTCTTAGAACCATCAAGACACCGTAGGAATGAGAGGCAGGAGTCAAGAGGCTGACATTTTAAATATGATTAGCAATTAATACAAATGTACTCGTTGAATTGTACTCCACAACACTGATGATGTCTTAGGTCACCATTAACTCTACTGGCTGCCACCAGTCATACTATTAAACAGGAAGTTAAAAATACTAATTTTACCTTAAAAATAAAAATAGTCAGTAATTCTTGAGAGTAAGGATTTTATTTCTTATCACTTTAAACCTCCTCTAATAGCAAAGTCTATAAGCTAGTTCTTAATATTATCTGTTTTGAATGAAGAAACGCATTCCTAACACCAATGCAGTCTTCTTTCTCTCTAAAAAGTTGACTGAAGAGTTCCAGTAACTGGACTTGAGATATACACCTGATCCCAATTATTTAGTAGCATCCTTTTCTACTCTATTGTAAAAGGATGCTTTAAAATAATACTTCATGGTGATAATAGCAAATGCCTTTGCTAATAATTATCAAAACCAGACATTATAAACCCTGCTCCAGATCTCCTTCAGAAGGAATCTGTAACAATTTGATAACATCTTTTAAGAATTTTGCCCACTTCAGAGATACAGTTTGTAACTTTAATGTGGTAATATAACTATTATTCAAAAACCATACTATCATATATTAAATAATAGGCATTGTAAAAACAAAAACATTGTTTTTACAATGCCTATTATTTAATATTTCTCTAAAATTAAATCTTAAAAATTCCACCATTTTTTTTTTGGTTTTATTACTATTTGTTTTCAGCAAGTAAATTCATGCTGAACACTACACTTGCTACCAATTAAATGGTAAAATCTCCTGTTTGTTCCATGGATATTATCATATTAATCATTATTATGCATGACAGTGTTAATAATCTAGGCCTAAAAATTTCCTGTGAATTAGTGAAGTTTCTTTATGTGAAAAGCCAGCTTCGTCAGTGCTTTGACTTATTCATCAAAAATTCATCTGTCTTGATGTACCTTATTTTAGTAAGTTTCATGGGAGCCTTTCATCAAAAAGGAAAAAGTGGGTGGACATTTAATTATAATACTTCCCTCCAACCTACAAAGCTGATTGTTCCCACTCACAAAATGGCAAGCCAGATTTAGCAAAGCCCCAGTGCCAAGAGAGAAGACTTTAGAG